TGGCAACATTGATCATGTGGTTGTATCTATTGATCTTTCTGCTCTCACACCAGCCATGAACCTCCCATTAACAGAATTTCTTTCCATTATCAATGTGTTGATTGGAACTCGTTTTGTGACATCCTGGAAGGATATTTTTAATCATCCTACTCAGAAAATTACCACCGAGAACTTCTTCCTGAGTGAAAGGTAGCACTGAAGCTTTTGTTCCAGCTTGAAAATACCAAGTGAAACCATGATCATCTCCCTGGTTTTCACCTGCCTGCTCAGCTGCTATAGCCCATGGAAATCACTTCTGTCTATCATAGTGACAGGTCTGATTGCAACAGATGTCTCTTTGTTGCTGCCTATAATGAGAGCAAACATGTCTTCAAAGTAGTTTGATTCTAGGGATTATTGGCTCTCTCGAGTAATGAAGGTCGTATTGAATGGACATGCTTCTACATCATTTCATACTTATGTGGGGGCCCTTCAGAGCAATAACTTTGGACCTATGCTGTTTCTGATCTTCAACAATGATCTCCCTGATATCATCAGTTCCCAACTAGATATTTACATAGACAACACTACCATTTACTCCTGCCTTAGTAGAAAATGCAACAGATCTGACAATGTAAACCTGGCAATTACTCTTGAAAATTAGCTCCAATTATTGATTAACTGGGGCAAGAAATGGCTTGTAAATTTCAATGCCTCCAAAACAAAATTGCTTTCATTTAATCACTACAGAGAACCTTTTCTGTCTACCATCAAGATCACTGATGCTGAACTCCAGGAGAGCAACATTATGCCATCTTGGCCTCACATTTTCCACTGACATGAAGTGTTGCAATTATGTTGAGTCAGTTACTACTAAGGAAGGTTGGTTCACTGTGTCATGCCCCAAATTTTTTTGTCAGAATCCATCTTGCACATTTATAAATCTACCATTCATCCATGTATTGAATACTGTTGCCATATCTGGTCTGGTGGTCTTACTGTGCATCTCAAGATTTTTGACAAAATCCAAAGAATGGTCTGTAATATAATTGGTCATGTCACATTCTCTCTGATGTGACATGGTTTCCCTTTGCCTGTTCTACAAATATTTTCATAGCAATTGCTCAGACAAGCTTTTTTTCCTGATGCCCCAACTACATGAATTTAAGTATGCTACTAGATTGGCAACTAGGTCTCATGGCTTTACTTTTAAACTAGATAGATGCAACTGTCAATTCTACTATAATAGTTTTTTTTTCTTGCACTTCCCACCTGTGGAACTCCCTTCCAATTTCTTGATTTGCCATCTTGTTTTTTTAAAGCCTATTCATTTTTTACCTTTTTCATCAATCCTCCTTATTTTTAATCTTCTCATTCACTTTCACTCTCTGTAACCTCCTGTATTCTAGTGGCACTGTCACCCTGCTTGAAGTGAAATGATTAAAGAAAAACTCAAAAAACAAAAAAAAAAGAAAACCCATAATAATGATACACAAATGCATGTATGCATGCATATTTATAAATACACATGAAATGTTTCTCATATGTGAGCATGTGCACATAAGGTCACATGTAATTCTTGCAGAATTTATTTCAGCCTTAGATTAACTTAAATGTATTCTTTCTTTACATTTGTCTTTATCAGTAATTTCTTCCTTCAGCTCAACTATGATGACAATATTTTTTAAGTTTTTAAAATAGTTTGCCTTGGTAAACATCTATTGGGATTCCTGTCATGATAAGCCCAAACATATCTTATTTAATTGTTGCAATGTGACATAAATCACATTAAGATATTCACTGACCTCAAGTCAAACAACATAGAGAAACAAAAATACTAACAAGTAACTTTTTTCCGTTATGCTTCTTTTCAAAATAAAATGGCTGTTAATAAAATGGCATTGACAAGCATTACTGTAGACTATTAGTTTCTATTAAGATCAATTCAGTATTTCATATTATAAGACATAAGTACACTTTGCAATGACATCTCAGAATATATTCATATCATATATAATTCAAACTTGTTTTTCTCAAAATATCTAAGACAATTTTAACAGTAAATTTGATCCCAGTGATCAAAATAATATTTTTTTTATTTATCCATTTTAACAGGGGTCTTAATTAATTAAGATCCTGTCCAGATGAAGAGAACTTTTTTTAGTTGTGTTAATACCAAGAAAAATTTCCTGAAGTCAGAGTTAAAGAACTATTGCTTTCAACTAGTCAGATAACCCATTCAAAAGTTTAAAAAAAAAAAAGTCAATGCTTTAACATTGGTTATTATTCTGTGCCACAGTGAAGTGAGAAAACAATGTGTGGACCTCTTTGATTTATGGTCTTCTTGCAATGTCACCAATTACACCAGCATAGACAAATGAAATCATATCCAACATCAATGAAAGCAAATACCAATTAATTCATATTTTGTGGAAAAACACAGAATCACACAGGTTAAAAATATTTGCCATATTTAAGCCAAGATCTGAAACCATCAATCCCGAGATCCTATTTCATGCAGACAAATGCAATTTATTCTTCTGTGTTTACAATTAGTGATGAAGTTGGAAAGAGCAAACCAAAAAGAACTATAAATTACTGTATTATTGGAATCTAATGGAATACAGAGAGAGTGAGACTGCAATTACTGTTCTACAAGAATAAGCCAAAGATTCTGCCCAATGTACAATAAATGCATAAATACAGAACCAAATTATTGGTTGGCATTAATTCTTCATATCAGCTTTAAAGGGAAAACTATAATTGTAAATTCTACTAGAGTTTCATAGAATATAGCTCTTGGACAGACATGACATACTACAATTCTCAACTATAACAATATTAATAAGCTAATCACAATTTACAGGAGATTTTCACAGATTCAACACTATCACTGTTCTTGTAAAATCTTTAATACTCTTAATATAGATATTCTAACAGAATGAATGTGCAAGATCAATCTTTTTTTAAACAAAAATAAGGTTTTGGAGATAATCAACCTTTGAATCTATCTTTAAAACAGAAGATTGTGTGTGTGTTATTTATGCACATCCACACTTTTGGACCAATTTCAATTCACACAAATTTCAAATTTACCAACATAGGTTAAAACCAACTTTTCAATCTCCAGACTCTCTGGGTTTGGCAGAAAAATTGATAAAACTGAATGTGGGTATGACTTTTTCAGAAAACAAGTCAAAGTTACACATGAGCAAAATTTTTACTGGATGAGCTGATGTTCTTTGCACTTAATGCAAAACATAGCTCATGTTATGAGGTTTATGTAGAGTGCTTCATAGTTTTGTGCTTCACACAAAAAATTGCAAAAAACTGTGAAAAAGTCTGTTTTTTTGTATTACTTAAAATAAAAACTTTAATAACTTCCTTATTTTTATCTAGTTTTCTTCAAACATGTTGCAAAAAAATTTGCCATCATGCAAGAAATAAGATAGTGTGGATTTAGTCTTACTTGCTTCCCTGTGTATAAAAAAAACAAAACAGAAAACAAACAAACAAAAACCTGTTCAAAAAGCCTATTTTTCAACTATGACTCCCTGGTTTTTCATCTGATGCTTTCCAAATTTGCTATGTAAATTGCATATGACACACAAATTGTCTAGTGTGAATGTTTAGATTATTTCAGTTAAGTGGACAAAATCTGCAACAAACTAGGTCCAAAATTGGCTTTTGCCATTTAGCCAATAGTTTCTTCATATGATTCAATAGTATGCTGGCATCAAACAACCTTTGATGCAAAAACTGTTTCAAAAAGATTATTGAAATGTTAAAGGGAAAAATCACCAAAAAACCTCTTATTAACATCAGCTTTACAATAAAGTTGTGAAGAGGGTGGGGGGGTTGTTCCTGCATTTGCACTTGCAGTTGAATCAAGCTGTGATGCTCCATCCCTGTTTTTGTTTGATTATTAGATTTGGGAATAATGCCATACTATCTGAGAGTTATTACGGCCATGGGAAATTTACTGAACATCTAAAACATTGAAATGATTTAATCCCGAGCAACGACCACACAAGAAGGTTTTATTGATGGAATGCCTTTATTAAGAACAATCAAACAATTGCGAAGGACATATCATAAAAAAGATAAGGTGTGGGTGGGGATAGCTTAGTATACCAGCGGGTGATGCATGCAAGTGGGGACGCAGACAGACATTTCTACACAGTGGGGTGTGTTTATACAATTGCAGCCATGTACACCCAGGCAGCACCAGGTACCTCAGCTAGTAGTAAATAAAAAACTGATTTTATTAATATGATGTTTATTCATATATTCACAACTATAAATGGTGAAAAAAGCTTGTGTTAAAAAAAAAACATGATGACATTACAAATTAGACATGTATACATGTAATATTGCCTTCACTGAACTAAAAAAAATTTTGTGGAGGGATTTTTGAAAGAATTCTGGTAAGAAGAATTATTATTATACACTGATGTGTTCAGACTAAAGTGCTCATTTTCACTGTCCTAGTTAAACCACTTCAGGTGTTGTATCCTCAAACCTTTTTTTTTTCTATTTGATAACCTTGTGGGAATTTCAAAAACTCTTTATTCAATCCACAAAGTAGGATTGTTCTCATTCCACTGTCAAAGCTAGAAGAAAACTTGCATAATTGTATCTGGTGAATTCATTCTTGTAATATTATTTATTTCTTCCACTGAACCATAGCATATACAGAGATTGAATTCATAATTCATGGCTTAATGGATAAGGGCAATCATTATATGAATTTAGTTATCTAGTAGTCATGAGTTCACTCTCTTAGGTAGTGCAAAAAAAAAAAAAAAAAAACTTTATATACAAGATATCATGGACAACAGAATGAGAACAATCTATCCTCATGGATTGAAAAAAGGATCCATTTCAAAATTACTGGTAGGATGGCAACATTATGATATCTAGACATGTTCTCTAAATCCTGTTGATCAATTCAGATCATTTGTTTTCCAACAAAATCTTTTAAATCAATGAGGATAAAAGAAAAAAATAATGAAACTTACATCAAAATCTTTGAGCACTCTACTTGCTGTTGGTTGAGCTTTCTCCAAAACTACATACTTGGTATCATGTCCAATGATCTCATTTGAGCAAAACGCAACTGTTTTGAGGCTTGACAGTCAGGGTGGCGTAAACATGTCTGAAAAAAAGATACAAAATGAGACTTAAGCAGACTCTGAAATTCAGCAGTGCATCTTTGCAAAACACAAAACAAGAATTCCAGTGGTCCATGTACACAATACATGCACTTTGCAATGCTTGTTGCACTCGTTATCATTTTTTAAAATCTCTAATTATTTCACAGTATAAATTGTGAACAACCATTCATTTATAGTATAAACAGAGAAAGCCTTCACCTCTCTAGACCACTCCTGCACCAGAAGAACTGCGTAAAAGAAGATTGATGAGTGACAGTTGAGTGATTGATGCTTAGGATACCATGGGCTGAACATGTGAGCAACAAAAAGTTGTGGAGAGAATGGAAACAAAAAGAAAACTTATACTTAACATCAGGAAGGTTTGAAATTTCTGGGACATTTAATGAGGAAGGAAGGGGCTTGGAAAATCTGATACCAGATAGAGGGAAAGGAAGGCAGCATCCATTCACTTGAGCAAATGGATAGCAGAACAAGGTTTGGGAGAAATAACAAAAAGACAAAACTTATTAAGAGCTACAAGGGACAGGAAAAGGTGGTGAGCCTTGATCACCTATATCCTGAAGGGATATGGCAGATAAAAAAAGAGGAGGAGCAAGAAAAAAAACAAAAAACATTAGAGTTAGCTGCTTCTTCCTTATGAATAAGATGACAGTAGAGCATAGTGCTGATGCTTTCTGCAACAAATTAGTTCCAATTCTGAGTGGGAATGACTTCAAGACACTTGCCCCTCTTTAATTTATACACAAATGCACACAAATGCATGCTGGGATTTCTTCCTTGCCAATAAAATAGGCCAGTTCTTGGTTTCATATGACTCAATCCCAGTTTGTCTTGAAGTCAGAATGCTATATTCATTGATCCAAACTTATTCTTGTGTGCCAACTGCAATTCTTAGTGAACTTTTTGCCATATTGCTATTGCTTTTCCTTATTAAATTTTAATTTATCTTGCATATATTGTTTGCTTGTTTTATATTATTGTTGCCCTATTCTTTTTCTTGTTATTGCTTATTATGAACTTTGTTAATTCTGTTGGGCAGTTCTGCCATTTATTTACATTTAACAATGAACACTCACTTTACAAAAGTGATTAATGAATTTGTCAAAAAGAAATGAAGAATTGAATTAATTTACAAATAAATAAGTTTTAAATGTGTTATTTGTTGATTTTATTATTTCCTCATATTTACATTAAATGATGACAGCTTGCCTCAATTTCAAAGTCAATTTCATCATTGAAGATTTCATATACTTAAACAAAAAGCATCATTGTACTTTTAAAACAGTCATTTATCATTTTAGACCTATTTGAAAAAAGCTATTATCAATTGGTGTGAATTTCTTAATATTTCTCATCTTATGTTGTACTAATCTTCTCTGAGCAACTTAAAATTTTTAATATTTTTTATGTCCTGGCTGTGGAAAAAGCAACAATGTTGTTTTTTTAAGTAAAGATTGTAGCAGATATTTTAACCAAAAAGTTTATCTCAAGGTTTTATTTGCTGAAATTGAATGATAAAGAGTTTCTCTCCAATTTGGCTCATTAACAGATAACTTAGTGAAAAGTGTGGTTCCTCTTGTTTTTACTTCAGTGAAATAGAACGACTGGTTGTAGCAAAAGAAAATCCTTTTCACTTCTTCTATCTCGATTCTTCTTTCTTTCCTGTCTTCAGCTGCCATCAGCATCCATCTCAATTGCATACTAGCTCAGAAAATAAATAATGAGCCCAAGTAATATTTTCTTCTCCCTTTTCATCATCATTGACTACTACCCTTAAGTCTTTTATTCACACCCACACAAATCACCCAATTCTTGTAGATATTATCCCTCCACCCATTGAGAGCTATGTACTTTTCTTTACAGAAAGTTAACTTTCTTGGTGGGAGTGTAACATTACTTATAAAATGAGAGATAACATTTATTTAGATAGAAACTACCCACCATATTACAACAGTGAGTTAAGCAGCAGTTGTTCATGTTATATAGTAGATTAGGCAGCTAAAAATAAGTACTTCCACTTGTCATAAAGTCCAGGGTTCAATTCCCAGCAAAAAAGTTGCATTCAAATCTACTTTACCTTTACTTTCCATGTTTATTTACCTTTACTTCCCATGTTTATTTAATGAGAAAAGTATCAAAAAAGGCTTGTTCACCATTATCAATAAGCATCATCTGTGAGTGGGGAATTTACATGCAATCTATTTAAATAGTAAGTTCTCTGAAATAGATTTTAAGAAAATCTAACAATATAAATTGCAAATAGTAAGAACTGAAACCTGATAGAATGATAGTAACTGTTGCCACTTCAAATGAAGTTCAAAGGAACAACCCTATAGAAAGAAATTTTTTTGAGTTTTTATACAATTTTAAAAGTATTCATGAGCAAATATTCTATATAGGCAAAATGCATGCATATATCTACTGTATATAGGTGTCTCATTTTGTATAATTTAGCTTGTATTTTATCAATCATAATATCAAGATTAAACTGGAAACAAATATAATTTTCCTCATTTGTAGCCACAAATCTTTTAAAGCCTTCAAACAATTTTCTACATTCTTGATAGAAATTATTTCTATCATAGAGGGTGTGATGAGTAAATTGTCACCATTTTATATTTTTAATTTTGTGTATGGACATTGTTGGTTTTTGCCAACTGCACAGTATAGTAAGGTCAGTTGGGTACTGTCTGTGAGAAAAAGAGCACCATGATGCAATTCACTCTGCCAGAAATTTGAAAATGGCTGCTTCCCATTTGCAATGGAAGCTCCAATACAAACATTTCAGAGTGTTTGGTTGTCAATCTGAGGACAGTGCAGAGGATTCAGAAAGAGTTGGATGAGTCTAATGGTGATTATGAAGGTGTGGCAGCTTAATAAACTCACACTCATCAATCTGATAAGAAAAGAGCTCCCAAATTTGTTGGTAAGGGCCTCAGACTCAACATGGAGGCCTACATCAAGTGCTTTGAGGAAGCAGTGCTGCCCTGAGTCAAGAGTGTGACTACTGGAAGACCCTGTCTGTAAACAGGACTCTGCACCATGCTACACAAGCAGGAAAACTCAGTCATGGCTGTCAGACAATTTCTGTGACCACATCACCCCTTACATCAGGTCACCTAACTCCCCAGACAGCAAGCCTCTTGATTATTAAGTGTGGGGTGCAGTTGACCAAGAGACCAACAACACTCTTTGTAATAATGAAGATGAACTGAAGGCAAAGATTATGGCAGCATTCACCAACTTAGACCAGAAGACCATCAAGAAGAGTTGCAAGAGATTCTGAAGTCTAAAGGCAGAAATAGAAAAAAAAATTATGTTTCAAATTTTTTATAATATGAATTAAAGTTTGTAAAATGTTCATTGAAGGAGATTTTTTTAAAAAGGAGAAATACCATTTTTCAGTAAACATTAAATTTATTACCTTAATTAAATAGAAACTAATGAAATTTAAATAAAATTTAAAACATTTCTAGATGTTAAAAACAGATATTAAAAAATATTCAGTATCTTATGCTGTATTTAATATTAGTCAAATATTAAACTAGTAAGTGCATAAATGTATATATTTTATTTAACAGTCAACAGTAAATCGATCCTTTAATTCACCTATGAATAAACTAAAATAGGTTACCAAATCAAGATTATTTCAAGTTTTTCTATTTATTTTCAGAGATTTTTGCTTTGTAACTGATTCTTGTTTAAAACACTAACATATGGAAACCAATAATTTAAAAGATAAATTTGAGTTGTTACAGAAAACAACAATGAAGATATTGATTTTTTTTTTTAAACTATATAGTCTGAAAATGATAAAAATGAGAGAAGCCACCTCTAAAAATTGCATAAATGTGATTATGTTGAAAAATATATTTCTAAACTATTTCAAAAATATTTTCTTCTTTATAAGACTACATCAGGCTATTCAGTCCCTTTCATTGTTTATAGTGTCATAATTTTTACATTATGTTTAACATTAAACAAGCAGCAATTGAAAGAAGAACAATAATAATTATTAATATTTCAAGGTTTAAATGTTCTTTTATCAATTCTATTCTGAAGCAGAATGAAATCACCTTATACATCCTAAGGTTTGCTAAAATTGCATTCTTCTTTTTATATGTCATGTCCTTTCAGGACGTAGGCAATCATGGCTCTCCACTTCCCCCTATCCCTTGTAGCTCACGATAAGTTTCATCCTTGTCCCCATCCCCCTCACCGGACCACATTCTGTCATCCACTTGCTTAAGCGTGACAGGTATGTCATGCATTGCTTTCCCTTGACTCTCTTTCCCTAAATACTGATTACATAATCTCTTACACACCATTTGTTTTAATCTAATCAATGTAAAAGTCCCATAAAATTTTCAGACTAATATGCTAATTTTTTTAACTAAACTTTATATTATAAAATATTTCTTTAAGAAATGTTAAGTGGTAAACCATATGTGAGTAATTACATCATTGTTGGTTTTATTATGTTTCAGTTGTTCAAGCACCATGTTCATTTCAAATTCTAAAAAATGTTATCTATAAGTAATCAAAAATAGTTAAACATTTGCTGTAAGCATTTGCTTTCTCATTTGTCAACTTTTTTCTTTTTTTTTTATTAATGAAGCAATAAGAGTATAACGAGAAAGAGCGATGGTAGAAAGATTTAATCTCCCATTTGTATTTCCCTGTTATAGGCATTATTATATCTGTGATATAATAACACAATATTTCACAGATGGAACAGAATGGCTGAAAGGAAAAGGTATGACAAACATGCTTTTTTTCTCAGAGAAACCTTTATATACTAAAAATTACAAAAAACTATATATATACATGTGTCCCACATGGAGAATAGTATATCACATATATTTACATAACAAAGAGTAAGGAGGAAAAAAGGCTTATATATAATATGGAGATACTCCTGTTTGGAGAAGCCATGTTTAGGACTCCAGATTCAAAAGGGCAGGATTCATCTATGTCCCAG